GGGGGAGAGAAAAAAACAACCCAAAAATCGAATAAAATGTTTCCTATAGTAAAGCTGCAACAGAGCTAGGCCGGGGTTCGATCCCTAGCAACCAAATTAGCTACCTTATCAATGGTTGCTCTCTGCCCAAGTCGATCTACAGTTATTGCCGAAACGATGCTAAGGGGAAATTCCTTATAGAATAAAAAAAGCCGCAGTAGATTTCTATGGGATTTCTTTTTGAGCGGGACAGGGATCTTTAAATATTTTTTGACAATATTTCCGCTTGGAACTACAGCGAGTTCATTATACATGTTAGTCTCGTTCAACCAGACTCTTGTTGTCTGCGCAAGCTTCGTCGAACAGAGAGTCTGGTCAAACCCAGTGCTATCGTTTTGTGACATCATAACGAGGCTTACCAGAATTCTGGTAAATGATTTCATTGACCTTTGAAGTCAGAATTTGAGTGGCGCAAAATTGCATTGAATATTTTAATTTATGAGAAAAATATACCTGTACAATCATTTCTGAAGCATCCGTGTTTTCACTTTTATCGAGAAAAAATGTAAGAAAATGCTTCAAATCTCAAGAATGATCTCATGTAGTCTATTTTAAATGGATATTTTACAATAATTTAATATTGCTTGTAACAAGCATTTTCATTGGCTTAAACATTTATGTTATCAGCCCATAACATACAAAATGACGTCGCCGTTTGTAACGTCGCTTTTGATTGACAGATACAGCAGCGCGGTTTATTTAGATTTATTTTTCCAACCTCAGTCAGCCTTGTTCGCTTTGTGCTCAGTTATGACTAATTAGGTGGAAATATATGGCATTATTCTGGAGAATTGACATTTTCTTAAATTATTCTCGATAATAGTGAATACACGGATACTTCAGGAATGCATGTACAGGTAAAAACAATTTCATTAATTTCCTTATTCTTTGAAATGTTTTAACGGCGTTGACATTACGTCCGGAAACGAAAGTGAAAACACTGCCCCCTGATGATGGTAATTCTAAAGTACTGTGTTTGACCAGACTCTTGAATTACAAGTGATCTAGCGTCTGGTTGAACGAGACTATATACTTGTACGAGGCAGTGCAGAATTTTGTGTGAAACCGGTCACCATGGTCACGATCCTACCCCTAGCGTCTCGTTGACACAGGTTTCAGATCACCTGAGATCGACTATCTCTCACTCAAACCATACAGAATTCAGGTTCAGGTTCAAGTGCAAGTTCTTTACTAACTTTAAGTCTTGCGACTTATCAATGTAAACATATATTAAACAGGATATTTACATATGTACGAAAAGCCACATTGGTCACAGGAGAATGAACAATACACACATACAAACTGTCATATATCTGATCGGCGCTTATTTGCCGCTATCATATACTTTCCAAGATTACATAATTCTTTAATATTCTCTGTATGAAGTAATTTTAGCTTCGCATAAATATAAGTAAGGTAAGCAACAGTTTTATTCTGTCAGCCATTTCAGAGGATTGATGTACTGGGTAGTTGTGTATAAGTTCGGTCCGACACTGAGGGAAACTAGTCTGGGTTTTTTAGCAATTAAATGACTACGGTAAGATAGCTATTTTGTTAAGTATGTTGTGAAATTTAAACATCTTTACAATTGGTCCCGATGGCAAATGTAATAGAGTGCAGTATCTATGGAATTCATTAGTTCGTGACTTACTGACTATTAACATAGAAAAACACTATGAAGTTATTAGTTGCTTACAAATACGATAATATTGTTTACATTTCTTGTTTACTGCATGGCGATGATATCTATACAAAAAAATTGACATGTTACGTACTATATATAGAATATCTGAAAGCTAGATCTCATTCGTGACACCGCCTATATGAGATTACAGGCGGAAATAATGGAACGACATTTTGACAATTAACAGGACATTTTTAAACGTAAATACATTTGATCTCAAATGTCTAGAGGAAGAAGATACTATCTATAAATAACAAAAATAATATAGAATCAAAAACTTGTATACTGGAAATCAGGTTTTTTTCGTGAGATCCATATTTTAGCATCAATACAAAAAATCAATGGATCACCAGTTTCAATTTCTCGAAGATATTTTCCAAACACCTTTCCAAATAAATAGTTGATTCAATATCTTTATAGGTTTGAGGCCGTCAAGAATGAGTCGTATGAAGCTTAATATTATCACAAATAGGAAAATAATTATAAGCACAAAAAATTCGCATTCCAAAAAGTTGTAATTAGGGCGTTATATATAGTTGTTTCGGATTACCCAGAATCCCCGACCAGCAGAAGTTGTCATCAGATCCGCTCTATCGCAAACAGGCCAATTAATCAATATACCGCCTCGTACAAACATGCAGGCACGTCCTTCAATGCCTTTACCTTCCAATGGGAAGTTAAACTTTATAAAACCTAAAATCTAAACGTTGATTTAGTTTTTCATGTGAACACGCATTAACGTATTCAACGCTCGGTGAAGCACGGTTGGTATTAAACAAATAGCCACCGAGTGGTTAAGGCGTCTGACCAGTCATTAGCCCTCCTCCACCATTGGGTCGCGGTTCGAGGTCTACGTTGGGCAGTCGCCAGGTACTTTCCACAGGTCGGTGGTTTGTTCCGGGCACTCCGGTTTTCCTTCACTAACGAAATCTGACACGCCCTTAAGGATCCCTGTAACACTGCCAAAATCTTAACTTAATGTTAGAACATTTTTTTTGCGGCATGACTATATCTTTGATAAATTATTTCTGAAAAGAAAATCAAACCTTGCGGGATTTTTATGAGAAATAATAAAGATGAAAGAAACACAATATAATTAACAACAGTGTTCTGAGAGTTAATATACAGCCTGAACTCGAATAATGGACTTGTATGTCATTTCTCTAACCGACTGAGCTTTGTGCCTGGTCGACGGAAGTGTCCTGACCCAACTGTGCTACAATTATATCCAAACGGAAGTGTCCTGGCCAAACTGTGCTGCAAGTTATATCCAAACGGAAGTGTCCTGGCTCAACTGTGCTACAGTTATATCCAAACGGAAGTGTCCTGGCTCAACTGTACTACAGTTATATCTGAACGGACGTGTCCTGGCTCAACTGTGCTACAGTTATATCGAAACGGAAGTGTCCTGGCCCAACTGTACTACAGTTATATCCAAACGGAAGTGTCTTGGCTCAACTGTGCTACAGTTATATCCAAACGGAAGTGTCCTGACCCAACTGTGCTACAGTTATATCTTAACAGAAGTTAAGTATCCATGTCCCACTGCACTGTCGTTTTATTTCTGTTTATAGTATTTCCCTTTAACTTCCGGTTGGTTTGATTGTAGCACATTTTGGCTAGTACAATTGCGTTGACCAGGTAGCCCAGTCGGTTACAGCAGTAGTATGACAAGGGTGCCAGAGTTCGAATCCCGGTGTAGCCCCGCTGAAATTTTCAAAAAAACAATCCCGCTCGATAAGGTTTTCTTTTCAGAAATGATTTATCAAAGCTATAATCATGCTTGAAAAAAATCAATTCCGATGCTCAGTTTCAGTTTTTGGCAGTGGTATGAGGGTCTGGAAGGGAGATTACTCTAAATGCGAAAATCCACAGTGCGATGGAACATCCATCGTCCATTGATAAGACCTGTTAGTATGACGTAATCTCAAAGTAAATAGTTCCTTATCATGTTCTTCCTGGGTTATACACATTTGGCGTTTTTGATTGGGGTTATTCGTTTACAGGCAGACAAAACTGACTAATATCTATACATTTTTATCTTTAGTAAATATAATTCCTTCTTACATCGTCATACTGCGATTAAGCCCACATTGGACAGCTGGGTGTGTGAGGAAATCATAACTTGTTGTAACAAAACATTGCTGGTAAGATATATTGAAATTTCGTCGTTAATTTTAGTTGTAAATCTAAATTAAGTGTACTGTTATATGCTTGTAAGAGTCTTATACAATCATTCAATACTAATTTGTGACTATCCGTTTGCAAAATTCAAAATCTGCATATATTATTTTCTACGTGTATATATTATTTATCTGCAATCAAACTTTAAAATGTTTTATTTGCATTTGATAAAGTCATATCTATTTGAACCAGAATTTTAAGTGACAAAATACTTTTGACGGTTTCTTATATTATCTTGAACGAGTTTTCTAACTACTGTAAAAAAATATTGAAAAATGAAAAAAGAGAAAGTAAATAAAAATAAATCATTTTTGAAAAATGTTTTTTTCATTTCTCCAACAATTATCAAACATTGGTTGCGTATATAGTAAAACTGTGATTATAACATATTTCCAAACTGATTTATCTTATTGAAGACATGAAACAGCTGCTATTTTTTCTTTTAAAATATCTATATCATGAGTTAACGTTTTTCGTAGAGATCTCAACATATCAAAGGTTAATAGTGATTACTGTGTAAGGATTCTGCGTTCTGTTTTAAAACTCTTTAACCAATCTTAAATTATAACTCATTGTTTGAATGGTTTACCGTTCTCTGTATTGTAACACCGGACAATTTAATTACTGTTAACTACTGTGAATCATTTATATTTTCATAGCATGTCTCTAGATCTTTTTTTTTTCCTACGTTTGAATTCACGACTCAGAGAATCTTATATCAATACTGACGGTAACTTATCTGCGGTATAAATATACGCGAAGCATCTAATTTTACTTATTCTTCTCATTAAAGAAAACGCTATTACAAATCCTGGTAGATTTGTGTATCTGTTAGTTCGAAACATATTATTTATCAAAATGAGGAAATAAATCATTCTTTACGGTGTTATTAAGTCGGAGAGGTGTTAATCGCCAAAGTGATATTCAAGAGCGTTTAAACCGCCCGCTTGAAGCAAGCCTCGTGTTCGGCAATCAGCCATTTTATCCTTCTGGTTAAAATTGCTCTGCCATGCCTTAAACTATGGCGGTTAATCTAAAAAAAAAACCACACATTTTTTTTCTGTAAAAATCTCTTACTGAACAAACAAAATTCGATATATCAGGTGGTATATTATACAACAGTAAAACGATAATGTGTTTTTTTTCTAAATATTCGTATTGTATTATAACGATGCTTATAAGGAGATCATCATATGTATTGCCCTAAGGTTCTGCTTTCAATAATGCATACCTCCTCTGCACTCTCAATTTTTTCAAGACATAATCGAAGTTCCTGTAAACGCCGTCTTGTAAACTATACACGTTTATTAGGTACGTATACCTGTGATCTCAGTTATCCATAATCGTAATCTTCCCGGTAAATTTTCCCGGTACACAGGATTCGCCTTGTGTCCCTTCAAAGTGATAGCGGTGAGGACATTTTCGCATTGTCATTACATGTAATTCTGAAATCGAATTATTCTTTATTTGTGAATATCTGTAATCTTTATATTGAATCTATAGATGAGAAGATATATATCGCGTGTAGATATTTTAGTACTTATTCACTTACCGCGAAAAATACAAATAATTCCGCACCGCGAACGTTCCACTTTTAAAGCATGAATTTCAGTTATTTTCGTTTGGCAGTTATCACATTTATGTTTCTCATTGTAGATATTTGTTGAAACAATACTCTTTACAATGAAAAGGAAAATCTTGGCCTTACTTCGAGCATTGTTCGTTATACCATTTATGGCAGGAACCAGACGAAACAGTTCCGGTTCGTTCCGCTTCTATGATTGTAGCACTTCATCCATAATCATGTTCCTGCTACTTCTTGCATCGATAATCGTCTTCACCGGAAGTCTTTCAATCGAAAGTGGAGCAATGCAGCGTGTGCAAGTAATTAAAGTGTTTTTGATACTCACTGACACAACCGGTATTGTAATGTGTGCTCTGATTGGTCACCTTATCTACAAGAACGGTGTTCCATCTACCGAGTCGTCGGGATCTCAAAGTATCAAACCAAAGTATATACAACTGGGCTTCGTTTGGCTGTTTGCAATATTGTCATCAGTATTCTTCTGTTTTAAAGCTGCTGTCGAGATGCAGTGCTGGAATTCCTTCTCTCCGACGCAGATTGCTGATTCCATTCTCCGGGTTATATTAATCTTAAGCCAATCCGCAGTACTGCGATATCTTCAATCATACAAAATAGAAGGAATATCGTTAACAAAATATGCAATACGAGTTTTAATTGGTGTCAATGTTTGTCTTTGGGTAAACACATTCATCCGTGACAAAACATTATTGAACAAAAATACTCCAACGGATCATCAACATAACATTTCCGATTGGATAGAGTGTGCTCTAAATTCTACATCCGGGTTACTTTACTATAAGTCGAAGAAATTCCTTCTTCCGGCTTGTGTGGAGTTTATGTTATTGTGCATTACTTTGCTGACTGAAATCAGTTCTCTGCATTCCTCAGATAATGAGACCATCGAAGAAATGGATGAGAAACATAGCGGCGAAAATTCACTGAACATTGGGTATGAAGAAAACACTCCTCTTTTACCAACAGTGGCTCAGAACAACAGGCATGTTGTTAGGTCATCAATATACGTATACATTTTTATAATTTGTAGCGTGTTGCTGCTGTTACCTAATCTAACCTTACATAGCATGCATGCATTGTTTTCCCAAGACGATATGGCAATACCTGTGATATTGTACGAAATTGCAATGAAATCTATTATGATCATTGCGGTTATTTTGGGGTTTTATTACACAGAGACTGGCATGGTTTTTCCAACACCGAGTGCCCGAGCTTACAGCACCAGGGAAATGCTATTCCTGGGATCTGTATTGGCCGTTTTTAATCAACACTGTTTCGCAGTAATGGCTGGTTGTCTTTCTGACACCGATGGATCACAGGCCATTGTTGCAGGAAATTGCATTAACATTATCCAGGATTATTTTCAAAGTGTTTTTCTCCTTCACGCTGCTAGTTGTGTACGAAAACAAACTCACAAGAAAGGTACTGGCTTTATTTGCATATGTACTTTTCTTGCTATTACAAACTTTGGATGTTGGATAGTGAATAACTTCATTGTTGGTCACACTGTCACGCGCATTGAAGATTCACAGATAAAGGTCCTCAGACAAACGGTGTGGCATATTTTGAACGAATTGTTTGGACCTCTGACCATGTACTATAGTTTTACATCAGCTTTCGCTTTCCATACACTTTACATTAAATTCAGAGCAAATTAGTACGTACTGATGCCATGCAAGGCTATCATCCTCGATACTCGGAACTCGGCACTAGTTACGCGGCAATATGTCACAGCAAAATTAAAGGCTCAGTGTATGTCACATGGTGGATGAGACAAGAAGACTAGTTCGATACTTTGGTGAACATCAAAAGAATCTCGTGGTCGCGTAACGGTGAAAATTAACTGGTTTTGAATTCGGGTGTCGTTTCTCTGTTATCTTCAAAGGACAGATATCAGCCAAGCGATTAGTCAGCATTTTTCTACCTGAGCCCAATCAAACAGCCATCTTCGAGCCTTCATTTGCGCTATGACATATTCCCGGGGTGCAGAGAGCGAAAGTGAGCGTTACTCATGGAGTATCGATGATGCGATGCTTTGTGTGCGAGGAAGGTAAGAATATGCTATATATGTTGAGTCGATCACAATATGAGGGATATATTCTTGGATTGTTTATATAAAACATCAGGTTTAAGCTAAACATCTATCGTAGCAACACATTGTAAATTCAAATGTCATTTAAGGTTTAACAGGCATCATTTATTATATTTGCGTATACGTTATGGATACTTTAGGCATAGTTGTTTTCTTGTTTTGACCCTTGGTACCGCAGATGAGCCCTACATGAACGGAATGGACATATGGCGAAATAGATGCCTACTTTGTGGGGCTGTCTTAAACTGTTTCTTTAAATCATATAAGGTAATTTGTTACTTCAAATATCTAGTGTTTACTCAAATACACTTCATTAAAAAGATACAAAATCTCAAATTTGTATTTGCGTGGTGTCATTTGCGATGATGTTCTTTCAATATTGATTCTGTTTCATTTTAAAGATTTTGCTAATTCCCTTTGCTATTTTTAGAACACTGTTATGGTGATATAAATTCAAAATGATTGATAATGGAATTTCTCCAATAGAAATAAGAAAAATAAAGTTATGTACATACATGTGTAACAATGACTACACTCGGTACGCTACGGGTACAGTTAAGTTATATATTTAACAAACAAGACATTCGGTGCGCTACGGGTACAGTTAAGTTATATATTTAAAAAGCAAGACATTCGCTGCGCTACGGGTACAGTTAAGTTATATATTTAACAAACAAGACATTCGGTGCGCTACGGGTACAGTTAAGTTATATATTTAACAAACAAGACATACGCTGCGCTACGGGTACAGTTAAGTTAAATATTTAACAAACAAGACATTCGCTGCGCTACGGGTACAGTTAAGTTATATATTTAACAAACAAGACATTCGCTGCGCTACGGGTCCAGTTAAGTTATATATTTAAAAAGCAAAACATTCGCTGAGCTACGGGTACAGTTAAGTTATATATTTAAAAAGCAAGACATTCGCTGCGCTACGGGTACAGTTAAGTTATATATTTAAAAAGCAAAACATTCGCTGCGCTACGGGTACAGTTAAGTTATATACTTAAAAAGCAAGACATTCGCTACACTTAGGTTACAGGTGTGTAATATACTTAACAAGCAGGACATCCCCTACGCTACGGGTATACTTAAGTTACACACTTATCAAGCACGACATTCGCTACGCTACGGACAGAGTACGGTTAAGTCTTTAATAACACGACACTCGGCACGCTATTGATGTACAGTTTAGGTATGCAATAAACAAGCACGACATTCGCTACCTTACTACCTCTTATCGAACATGTAGTGTAAAGTGTATTTTTGGCACTTTTTCTTCCTTACATGTTTTCTCTTTGTGAACAAAATCAGCTAATCGTGTCGGAAATACGTACGAAGTTTGAGAAGAAGAAAAAAATAACTAGGGGTGACTCAAGGATTACACGTTCCTGACACTTGGCAATGGTCGCAATAAAGCTTGGTAAGAGTAAAGTAATAAAAGATTAAGGGATGTTTAAATACAGAAACAACAAATCGAGAACATGTAATATACTTTCATGATTTGTTGAAACTGATAAGAATGATGTGATTTAAAAATTTATTTTGCTTTAAATCCCTGGTTTCTTATTGGAATTAAATTTTGATTTTTTTTTACCAACCACTGGTTAAAGATTGCAATTCATCAAGCGACTTGAGCCTGGTAGCGACACCACTGGCGTGCAATTTTTGTATGTTATTTGAGTTGACGTATTACACAAGATGAAATAGCAAGCCCAATTCAATATCAAATAGCTTTTGAAATATATCGTAGTGGGGAACAATAACTGTGTCTTCGTGATTTGTAAATACGTACGTATGTTTGATATCAAGAAGACTTAAGATGGTCAAAAATATTATTAAGATTTCCTTTAATTTTAACTTAATCATTTACAACAAAATAACCATACTTACATTTTTTCTATGTTGAATTTTATTATCAAAATATCACAGACATTAGCATATCACAGATATGGAGATATTTTTTTTAAAATACATGAATATACAATTTAAAGAAAATTACTAATATAGCCAAGACATGAAATGAGTCAAACAGCAGCTTCCACTTTATAAATATTCAGTCAAATCGTCTCATGCGACCATTCCTTTTAAAAGACCACTTGTGTGAAGGGACCGCTTTTTTATTTCCCCAAAAGGGGGAGGGGGTGTCTCCTTTTGCAGATTGAACTGTACATCACATACAATTCTTTCTATGCAATATATAGTTATATAAAGTATCGATTTCCTTAAGCAATGAATGTCGTGTTGATTTAACACATTAACTTTAAGGTATGACTCTAATTACTTTAAATCTATGAAACGCAAGACTGCGCCCGTATTCATGAAATCGTTCACATTCTCAAGTATGAATTATGTGCTCAAGCCAACTTTCTTTTAACCAGCTTTAATCATGTTACACTATCAAAACGTCAAGAGTAAACTTTGAAAACAGTATTCGGCGTAAATCCCCCCAAATTATTTCAAAGTTATTGAAAAAATAAATTATCAAGGGTACGAAAACTGGGCTGTGGCACAGAATCTAGGATTGAGCATGAAAACGGTTTCATGAATACGGGCCTTGACTTGATATTTAAACAATCAAATAACATTTGACAAAATTATTAAGAACTGAGAATTTGTCTCAGATGTAGAATATGATATTGTAATGCACCATCATATTGAAGTAATAGCACTCTCGCTTTACATTACTCGCTTCATAAACAATCTCTCTATATAGTGCTTGTTAGCTGTTTCACCCTCCACTTACTACAGTTACTTTATTGAGAGTATCTCTTCCACACAAATGTATGCATAGATAACACTTCAAATATTATATTTCATATTAATTTACCTGTAACCAATCAATTAGACATTCATTAATATGTGTTCGCTGACATACAATGTTTCACATATTCACCATTGAAAAACATATAAATTGTCAATCATTTTTGTGACCAATGGTTCCCGGATTCTAATGCATCATAACCTAAAAATCATACTCACCTTAACGTATCATATCAGTAAGTTTAAACATATTTTATTGATCCAATGATTCAAAAGGATTGGACAACATGTTATTCAAAGTATAACTTGTATCTGTTTCACTACTTGGTATGCTAAAACGCAATTGCTTTTTTCTGAAATAATGAAACTAAAATGCATTCATCATTTTTCTATCATTCTGACGCGGGAGTGTATAGAGTTAACCTCTGTTCACCAAACGTGGTATTCCATTTCGTAGACGAATTATAAATGTGTTAGGCAAATATCGTGCAAGCGGATTTTCCATCGCAAGTATCATTTTGGGATGTATTTTTCAGTAGAACTTCGAAAGACACTTTTTATCTTGTTTGCAGTTTACCAGATGGTATAAATAGGTAGCAGCATATGTGACAGAAAATAAAAGATATCCCGGTGTCCCTCCAGATGACATCTTGTTCTTTTGGTTGCTACGAAGGGCGGGTATAATTTTGCGTACAAGATAACAAGCCTATTTTTTTCAATGTTCTTAAGGTGTTCAAAATGATGCTCGAAGACTTTTTGCAATACTTTTCAGACACCGGTATTGTTCTGTGCTATTCATGTCACGAGAGGACGCTGTTTTCCACACTGCTAGATGAAGTAAGCCATCCTCCTACAACAATTGAAAACATCAGTGTAATTATACTTTTTTGACGTTATGGGCGCGTCGAAACTGTTTTCAAGGAACACCCATCCTGGTTTAGAGCTATGTCTATAACGAAATCACAAAGAGAATACCGCCGCGTCAACAACCTTGAATTTAAACTCTACATTGATAAAACAAGGGGATATTTAAATACAGGAAAGTTGTACATGGATATATCGGATAACAAAAGCACACACAAATTTGACCAGGACTTCTTGAAAGATAGCGCCTTCTGCTTCATGTAAATCTTGGGGAAAAAAATCGAAGAAATATCACGTCCTCAAAGCGAGAACTAGGCCAGAGATAACGAAACAAAAATAAAACAACACTTATAAGCGTGAAAACAATATCGTCCTTCATATCAAGCGAGAAGTTAGCATAAGACGACGAAATTTGTCTATAGGCCTATAGTCTTCATGACACTGCATCGTTCATACAGAAATAGCACTGATTCCATACTTATCAGTTTAAGTAAACTCCTTCAAATCAACGCAAAAAAACGCTTTGAATATGTTCACAATACTACACGACAAGTTTATTAAAATGATTAATATAGAAAGGTTGCGCTTTTCTGGGGAATTATCTTTTTTAAAAAAAGACAATAAATAAAAAGTTAATATTAAGTTATTCAGCTACACGAGAAATATAACGTAAAACATCCACGTACAACTGCCAAAAAACTGTTACGACGCACCAGAAACATTTCGTCCGGATGACTTTAGCTTTGGTAAAATATTTCTATAAAGAAAACCATACGTCTGAACTTTTATGTAACAGTACAAAATGTAATAAAGATAAAAAATAAAAATAAAAAGTTAATCAACAACATTTTTTCTGAGTGTAAAATCTCTCGGGGCTAGTACCATGGACAGCAATTTGTTATGCTGTTGATTTTACCACACTAAACAACATGGCAAACGAAAGTGTCCTGACCCAACTGTGCAACAGATATGTCCAAAACAAAATTTGGGGGAAGTAACCGTCAATACGAAAAATACACAGTTCGTTTGGACAGGGATCCTTAATGAAACAAAAGTTTAATGTGACATTTACATATCACCTTAGTAGGTGATTTTATTTCTTCAACACCATAATGCAGGTGTTTAGCAACAAATACAATGACTGAGTTTGAAAAAATCAAAAGAAATCACTTGAGTAATTTAAATGATAAGTAATAAATACCATGTGTGAAATTTTACGCTTTTTTGTTTACTACAATAACATTAATTGTCATATATTTGTTTTTTCGAAAACAAACGGCCAACAGAAATCACTCTCAGCAATATGGCGCACGGAATGGACCACATCAACACGGGTAAAGGATTCGAAAGTTTACTCGACAAACGAAAAAATGTTGAATTTGCTAAGATCACAATGCAAACAACAATGTGTTTATAAACATGCAATTTTTATTTCTGTAAATGGAATCAAATTTCCTAGCTTGTGTTTCGTCGCATAAGAATCACATTATGTCTTATGTATATGATCTCTATTTTCGATGTTAAATATTTGTGAGTCGAAGTCCCGATGTTTCGATTTTTTCCAGATGGTCCCGCAAAGTTCGAAACATCGACTGTATTGGCTTGATAAATTATCAATGTAAATATCACATGAAAAGTGCGTAAAAATATCTAGTGCTAAATAACGTAATATACCGGAAGCAATTGGGTTAAGGTCGAATAACATAGTTTTTAATAAAAAGCAGGTTAGTCAAATACTGAATTAACATCATCATCAATAATAGGTTTATTCATAAACATTCAATAATGTACTTTGTTGAAATTATGTTGTTCCCTGTCTGTAGATTAACACACAAAATATCAATTACGATCTAATCTTAGCACGCGGAAGTTAGAATCGAGTGTCTGAGTTATTGTTAGTGAGTCGCCGTTCGGTTGTTAAGTATCTGAAAGTTTAAATTAGGGAAGTATTAAACAGGAAATACTCTGAATAGCATTCCTTTTTAGCGTGAATTAAACCTAGTTGCGGGATCGAACAATGATATTGAAACTAGCGGAAGAAATTCGTAACTTGTTTCACATACTATACAGAAATAATTTTTCGTGAGTACATATATTTGCTTTTATTTTTCAAACGACTCATTTTTATTTGCGCTGAGAATGTCATAATACAAAAAATATCTCCTTGTAAACAACGTTTCTTTTGTTACAGTAACTTCGCTAGTAGTCGAACGCGGCGGTGCAAATAGTTTGGAAGATCAGATTTTGAAATTTTATTACAAGTTGCGTGGTGTCTTATGCTTAAATAATTGAGTTAAAGGAACTTACATGTAGTCTAGTCGGCGATAAGAGACTAGATGTTAACAAAGACAATGGCCTCGAATGTTCCCATTGCAATGTGAGCAATGCTTATGAGATTATCTTACACAACACACAAGCCCCTACCTTGGCGTCGTCAATGTGACCAAGGTTACTATGTACTTTACCAAGTGTCTGTCCAAGAAGCCGAACACGGGAAAAATGTTTTCCTTATCCAGTGTTCTACCGATGAATCTAAAGCGACAGTCAAGCTAGCCGAATGCTATATTGGGTTTGTTGTTCATGTGAAAGAGATACCAACAGCAAACTATTTATGAAGGCAATGCTATCAGATGTCGCCATCAGGTCAGACAAGGTAAAGGTGAAGACAACGGGAACTTTAACGGTTTCCTCCCATCCCTGCGTGTCAACAACACTGATTAACATATTGATAAACCGAGGTTATAAAAACGTGTTTCATAAGTGTTCTTAAATAAATAAAAAGTGTAATTTGCAACTGCTAGTACGTTAACGGTTTCTAGAAAATGGTAAATTTCAAAATAATTGTATGGTTCTGATAATATATATAGCTGTTCACAGAGAGAGTAACACCGCTGAAGAAATAAGGTTAGCATCTTCGAAAGCACCCTGCATCAAATGAACACAATATGCAAAGACTTTGTCAAAATCAGGCCATTAAATTTTCTCAAGATACACGGCAAATATTCAATATTTAGGACGAACGATAGGGTGGAAAACGGGAAAAGGAGTGAATAGAAGGTCAGACAACAAAGTTCTTTCTAGTAAAACAAGTTACGAATTACCTTTAGTTTGAAATAAAGACAAAATGCAATCTTAAATCGTGTTTATATAGGCACAGCACTGTTGACAACTAGAGACTCAAATATATTTTTTAATAATAGCATACAACATGTAAGATAATCCTACATGTACCTGGAAGATAAAGTTGTTAAGAGAAGTATTCTGCTGTAAGCTTTGGCTCTAGTAAAACTAGTGGGAGACTCATTACCATAAGTTTGAAATATATACAAAATGCAATATTAAATCGTGTTTATATAGGCACAGCACTGTTGACAACTAGAGACTCAAATATAGCATTCACTAATATCATACATCATGTCATATAATCCTACCTGGAAGATAAAGTTGTTGAGGTAAGTACTCTGCTGTAAGCTTTGGCTGTCGTCCATAAATGATTTGGTTGTGACCTCAATCCAGGCATTGTCAGTGTTTCGCAGACTGTCTACATAACCTAGGTACACCTTTAATACAAAAGCAAGATGTCGGTACATAAACTCTTCAATATTTAATAACGTCATACAAGTTAACGTCATACAATGTATTTAAGAGTTATATTCGTGCCACATTTCAAAAAAAAACTTTGCTTGATTAAGGAAATGTTAAACTTTTAGCAATACCTATATTCTTCTGTCATCAATTCTTGTGTACACAGTACCTTTAATAATTCATCTTTAATTTTCACATTTGTAATTAATTTTTGGATATATTTCAATTTATCGATCATGTCTAAATTGTCAATCTTAAAACATAGTTTTGTAGTTCCTTCGTTTTTGGAATTCCTTTGGAATGGAGGGTCATTTAACGGTATGGTAACATACCTCCTTAAAGTAATTACAAGCTTGAATGAAGTCACGTTTGACCAATTGTAACTATTTTCCAATCCATCTATATAATGTGTTGATACAAATTACAATTTGTGGCTTCATGGTTCAGCCAAATTCACTTTCCGGAAAATTATAGTCATGACTGAAATAAGTTCTGAAAGATCCCGGTACAAATGTCAAAGACTGACTCCGCACTAGAAACATTTTCTCGGCATAGCTACAGCTTTATTAATTATTTCGCTGGTCAAGTCTTGATGCTGCTATAACCTAAACCACATTATGAAAGTAATGTACGGATGAAAATTAAAAAAAACCCACAGAATTATTAAAAATGGTCGGATTACCGATGCTATATAATTAACAAATTCAATGTCGGGTTTTTTTTGGCCAGAGTAAAGAGTGGACGCATACGTAAGCTAAACACACTGACAAACAACATCAGTAGGATGCAACTGACCTCTTGACCTTTCTGAAACATGGACTCTAAACGTTCCGTTGGTTTTCCTGTCACGTTCGGAATTAACTCTTTGACAACTGCGTGGTCTACCTTTTCAGTGGCATGCTCCTATATAACGAAACATAGAAATGGTTTATAATAAAATGTAACGTATTCAAATACTGTCAAAGTGGAAATCATCGCAGTATGGCAATGCAGATTTCATAAACGTGAAATTCTCTACAGGCGACACATATATTTGTAGATATCCAAATAATATATATATATATATATATATCTACATTATACAATGTATGACATATATTTCAGAACCATTGGCAACTTAAATAAAATCCTGACAGCGATCAGTTTGTAGAGTCAAAACGAGAACATTACCACAGGCGAACATTTCAATTTTAAAGCATGCATTATATGTATTAGGATAGGATATAGTCCTCACTTGATTTCAGCACAAAACTATCTTGTAAGATACAGAAACAATATATAAAGATACGAAACAAAACAAAACTCAATCTAAATTAAATTATGTGGATTCAGAAGCTAAACAAAGTAAGCATTTACTGTACCTTATGTCACATAAGGGGTTCTGTATGAAAGTAATTCATTAAGAGGTGTTTTATTGATCAACTCATTCACCCCTGAAATTTCATAATGAACTATTCCAACCTTTGAATTGGAAGAGTTCAAATGCATCTTCAGGAGTGAATGAGTTAACTAATCAATGTTTTCTCATAAATATTATTTTCACTCATACAAACATGTCACAATATCTATTTGACGTAGACAATTCATGCTTTTATGTATACATTTAAAGACATATCTAAAAGAATGTTCAACAAAGCCTCGAATGCCAATGGGACCCGCCCTATCAGTACATCGGAGTTCAACAATTATGAATTGTTCTAGACCACACAATCTACCAGAGTTGTTTTAATATAAGATCAAAAATATATGTGAATGGTTGACGTCACAACTGCTTACCGGATAAATTGACCAATCACCGTCAGATGTTCGTTTCCAGGAAAGGAATTGAAACAGGGGTTTTCCTTTTCGTAACATCTTTTTGCCAGTAGTGTCTGTTGCCCACCTATAAAATAGACGTAACTCATATCGTTGGAATAACACGTAATGTAGTTTATATAATAAAATGTTATATTAGAATTAACGTCAAATTTGAAAATAATGTAATTTTTCCTAATCTCGTCATTTTTAAATGATCGTATACCTCGAGATTTTTCACAACTTTCAAAAGTTAAAATCAAGGAGAAAAATCTTGAAAAGGCCTAACTCAGCAATATCATGTTTTGTTGATTCGTGCATTTTGAAGATCTTGTCACGACAGGGAACATAGAGGATATAAACAACATAAATTAAGGCTTCCTGTGGCAACACTATCGAAGCCGCATCTTAAGTCCTTTTAAGTGATCTGTGATCAACTTAATCAGTAACTCATTACAGGACATTGCTGTTACATCATACCTTGTGACTATCAACTTGTTTTCGTGATTGGGTCCCCATACACCAAGACACCCACGCCCTATAATGCCAGTTCTACCGACAGGATTGCGTGGGACGCCCGATTCCACCTTGTATTTTCCGAGAACGCTCCGCCTATCGGTACCATATTCTTTGTCGTATTCGTTCCACGACAAAGAAACTTTTGATTCGAGAAGCATGCTCCTGGAAAAAAATAATCATGAAATGTCGTCAAGTTTTTTTTTATAAAAATATATCAATGACATTAATATTAACTTGTTTTATATATTCTTTTTAATTTAATATATTGTTTTGGTTAACACATGGTTATAACAGCAGTGCAGTGTCGTTTGTAAAATTACAGTGAATAGAGGAGAATATTAATGCATATTCTTCATATAAAAATTCCGAATAGAAGTTTACACATTATTTCTATAATCACTAAAATATGTTCACCATAAGTGGATATATTCCGTCTTTGCGTATTGCAGAGTTATCTTCTCTTGAGAACAGGTATTGATTGTTACGTCATTTGTTTGTGTAAGAAAATTACGTCGTTTTCTCAAAAATTGATGACGTTACTCTCACAAACCAATGACGTAACAATCAATCCGTAGCCTGCATGTCGACTTAACGTTTAGTGTAAATGTGAAGTTCCGTCTTTATGATATAAATCCTTTCTCAGAAAAGAGTCCAATATCACTCTGAAGAATTTGTTTTAATAATGTTTGGGATAACAGTGTTCATACAGCGACGTCTGTTGTGTCCGGTAGGGCAGTTTAACAACCTCAAATGAAATAACATCATCAAATGTTTTGAGCTTATATTTCACTTTTCTTGTTGAATTTGAAGTGCTGATTTAACCGCGAATGATATGACATCCCAGATGTTTTTCTCAATTTTATTATGTAGTAATTATGAGATAACGCTGTCGGGATTACTAGATACGTAATTTTGACAGCCTCCGTACATTTAAAAATACTTTACGTGGCACTAACGATTTACGTACATGTACGATTGATTACTCTGCAAATGCGAAAAATATGTTGTTTATTAAATTTGATAGTCGATTCAGCCATGTATTAGGACTTTTAAATACAGTAGGGACTGTGTTTGCTTGAATTGTACGTCCTTTCATAAGCTATGGTCGATTAAGGACGTGCCAGGTTTTGGTGGCAGAGGAAAACCGGATTACCTGGAGAAAAAACACCGACCTGCGACCAGTACCTTGCGATTGCCCCACCTGCGACTAAGTGGTGGAGGGTTAGTGATAGTAGACGGTCAGGCGGCTAATTTAATTGGCAACCACGGCCAATAGAGAGTCACATAAAGATCTCAATCCAAAATGATATAAATATTACCTATCCGGTTCTGCTTTCGGCATATCTCCGTCACCTTCTGTCGATTCTTTATGTTCTTTGTCTAAAAGTTTTGGATCGTAGTCTTTGTATTTGGACTGTAATGTGATATGCAAATACAGTGTACATTGAAGAATATTGACAAATACATGTAACCAATGGATTTATTTATTGATATTTTGATGGTGGATTGCTATCAATAAATGGTTGAGCCAAACGATGAAATTTCGATCTTTTACAGAATAAAGGCGTACAATTTGCTTAAGCAGTTTTGATGGAATAAAACTGTATTAAAAAACCTTTCAGGATATTAATGCGAAAATTTAATGCCATTTTTTTATTTCTTTTTACAAAATTTCATATAACCTTTTTAAAAATCATTTATGTTCGAAAACTTGTTTATATTTCAATTTTAAAAATAAAATAAAAAGGAAACCGTCTACATTGTTTAATCTGGATTTTTTTTATATAACAGAATGTTTACAGCATTATAAAATGTTAACTTCTTTGTTACTTTCATTGACCAAATATGGGCATGCAACCGTCATATTGTAGAGTATAACAATGAATATTTGCTTTCCTGCTTTATCCCTATGCACGACCTGGAACAGCTACCAACGCGATGCCCCTTTACAGTCAGTGGCATTCCTTGATGACGCAAGCTTCCCAAATCACAAAACGTGGCAGCTATTATATAGGTCTTCTTCTCTTTTACTCATTTGCTTTCCTTCAAAATCATATTTTTTCATGGCCCTTTTCGTGATCAAATGATCATACCCAGACAAGTTCGTAACTTGCTGAAATGTATTCGTTTCTATATAAACAGCCAATCAATAGCCTAGATTTTATCATGTGATGTAAACAGCCAATGAATATCTTACATGTTCTCACGGGATACAAATATACTACATTTTATCACGTGACTGAAACAACCAGTTAATATCCTAAATGTGTTCACGTGAAACAAATATCGAAGGTTTTATCACGTGATTTAAACAGAAAAAATGAATATCCTAGATTGTATCACGTGATGTTAACAGCCAATGAATATTTTCATATTTGATCATGTCATATTAATAGTCAATGGATATTCCTAGATAAAGAAACGAACATCAAGCGGTGTTAATAAAAAGGCTAGAACTTCAGTGTCCACATACCTTCCACGACACGAGACTGTCCGGTACCGGAAACCGCATGACACTCGATGAAGGATACAGACAAGCACGCGACAGGTAATGCAGCTTGGATTTCTTTACTGTGATAAATTCTTCAGTCGTTGCCTCTGTAATTAAACATATTCTACATTTTGTAGTAAAATGTTTAGCCAATATTGAAAAAATTAAAAAAACGTGGACACGTAAGTTACGATTTCATTATGATCTATACTTGTACTTCTGACAATTTGATCGTTAAATTAAGTACGTAATGTTGCGTTGCGCACAAAAGCTGGTTCGCATTTTTGACTTAGAACCTTTGAAGTACGTTCTGACTATATCCGCCCTATAAATAAAACAAAAATAAAGGAGATTTTGGTCTGAGGTTCGCATATCATCGAAAATAGTCAAAGTGAATATTTATTTGACATGGCAACGAAACCGCAGGTGCTACGTTTCGAGTAGGTTGTTTAGATAAAGAGTAAAGCGAAAATAGTATAAAATATCTTCAAAATTTATAAGATATGAGAAATACCAAGTCAGAGAATTAATAACAAGACTAACCAAAAGAAAAATATTGACATTGTGAACTTACATATCAGTTTTTATATGTCTACATATGTAACCAGGTAATCATAATTGTGGTATCACTCTACTGCTCTGTGTCGCTGGTAAAACTCAATTTGTGACAGAAAAATCACGACATACCGCCCCAAATTTTAAAATATGATTGGGCCTTCCATGCTCTAACTGAAACAATCTTAACTACAGAAATTGTGTTATTTTAGAAATTTGGGTCACTGATGAAGATTATCAACATCGGTAATACTCAAAAGTAGGCAGCATGACATTGATCTTCCGGGGACACACTATTGCTCGTGACGTCATTGATAAACAATTTCATAATTATATCGGAGTCAGTTTTATCATTGACGCCATTTAAAATTACCATCAGGCTTCATATGCACATGAGAAGTTCGCAATTTATATATAACTGCTTGACCAATGAAATGCCAAGTAAGTAAATTATAAGTTTAACATTATATATTTACCTTCATTACCTGTTTTTCTCATCTGATTTGCGTATAGCTCCTCTTGTTTTGCAAGCAATGCATCTAACCTGTTGGGAAACGGATGCAATACAACATAAATAATATTGATGTATTGGATAACACTCATCCGGTTATTGTTTGTAGGGTGTACAGGGTATAACGTCCTATTAACAGATAATGTTATGAAAAGACGTGCCTCTATATATATGTGTTGTGTAGGCGTGCATGTGAGCATTTAACCGAGCAGACGAGATTGAGAGACAGCTGACAATGAAAGTCTTTAATATAAGGAAACTCATGATATGAACTGTTCAAAATATTGGCGGATTTCTGCTCCACAGTCCTTTAAAAAGGAAAACACTGCGGTAAAACAGACGATATCGAGAAACAACTGGCAATGTAGAACATAAATACAAGAAACATTATGATGGAAAATTTTCAAAACATCACTAGATATACGAAGAATGAAGTCGAAAAAATGTTTTAAATCTAAATATTAATTAAGGACTCCCATACCAACACTATATCTATAAATTGGAAACACTTTCTACCTGTATGATCAACCAACTTTAATCAATCATTTCTGAAAACGAATATCATACCTTGCAGAACTTGAACCTTGAAATTATTATAACGGCTTAAAAACGATAACAACTGTGTTTTATATTCAGTTTTTAGAATAAAATAAAACGGTGGCAAGCGAAGTTTCGAACCTTGAACCTTGAACCTCCGATCAAATACGGTTGCACTCTAACCACCTTTGCTACCTTTTCAGCGGTAGTTTTCTGGTCAAAAGTCCCACTACAAATGTATTCCAATAACCAAAAACAAAATTAATTGGGAAATATCTGGGGGGTTTCATTGAAATGCACAGACGTTAAAACACAAGAACTAACCACGCAGTGTTTGTTACGTGCATGAATTTTTCTATTAATAAACATTATTGGCGATGCATGCCAAACTGTGGCCTCTTCAATAAAAAATAGAAATATAGAAATGCCAATATGTGGCTTCGTTAATACAAAAGAGGAATTTGATACAAGCAAAAGAAGAAAGAGACAGGCCAGAGCTATTCTTTAATTTACCATCATTAGCTATAAATAGACTTGTTGTTTTACAATGGAAGGGCGATACTTGCCCCTAGAGATTAATGGCTGATAATTTACGATCTCATTTGATGGACACTCCTTTATGATCTCCGGCTAAGTGTAATAACGAACCTCGAAATCGAGGAGAAGCATTTCTTTTTATTTCAGGTATAACCCTAAAGGGAATCGGTTACAAATGTAGCTGCGACCTTTAAATAAGGAGAAGAATCGTTATCTGGAAGAGATATGGGGGCGGTATGCCGAATAATATGCTCTACATGTAATAATCATAACTTGATTCAATTGGAAGGAAATCTAATGTATAACACTTGACCACTGACAGGTCAGCAACGTCCCTGCCAAGTGCCTGACCGAAATCCCTAGTCTTTTTATAGGTTACATTGACCTTAACCTTGACCTTAGAATATTTTGAAAGCTCTATTGCACATCTAGAAAGTACAGTTCAACGCCATGTCAAATTTCAAAAAGATTGGTCGGGTGCATTCCGCTATAGAGACATTACTCTCATGACCTATATTTAAAAACAATAATCTTGACCTTAGAAACTTATTAACATCCTTCTGCACATTAACTTATCACATGGTATCAGTATGTAAAATTTCAGAGTAAAGGAAAATACCCCAAAATGCTCTATTTTAGTAACAATGACCTTAACATTGGGAACTTTTTAGGCCCTTATTGCACTTATTCTTATCACAATATCTACATATGAGAGTGTATCAGCAGGGCAGATATAAAAAAAATATTGGTCTTATGAATTCTCAGATACTCTCAACAAACGAAAGTGCGGACAGACAGACAGACAGACAGACTGACAGATGGACTACATGATTACTATAGTGCGCCAGCATCTCAGATTCGTAGCCGTTATAAATGGTTGTATATCAGACATCCACACAGCATACCAAAATTGAATTAGTCTGCACCTAACGTCCGGTTCATCCTTTTAGAACACATCGGTGATGCAAATGTAATGTGTCTTATAACTACTGTTAAAACAGAAGAGCGGGGATGCGCTTAACATTCATAATTTATGAGAAGAATTTCGAATTGGTGATGAGTTAAGTGTGTATAATATCAATCGTGCTACTAATCAAAAGAGATTACTGTTAATATCAAGGTTACGCCAAACCTCTTAAAATCATGAAAGTGCAAATGTTATTTCATATCATAGATATGCATAATAAAAAATAGAACATACAGTTTTAGACGTTACAACAAAGATGTATCTGATGTGTATAAATAAAATTATACTATAAGATAAAATCAATTTCTTATATGCCAAAATGTAATAAAACATACACATGTATGTATCAATGCATTAATAATTCAATCTAACAGGTCATAATATACTTATACCTCGAATTCCCTTAAAAGAAATTAATTTGAGCCCCTATCAGTTCTACACCAAAATATATATGCTTATTTTAACCTGTATCCCTTACCCATATATTTACACTGTCATGGTCTTTCTTGATTCATTTCAACGTATTTGATTCGTATTTGATTGACTTGGATTACATGTTGTGAAAAGGATTAGGCAACAGGGCCAGCCTATGTAAGCACTCTCCATGAGTTTGTTCTTACTTGAGGTCAATGAGTGCATCACGACTTGATGCACTGTCTTCAGTTGTTTTCGTCTTCGTCTTATCGCCGCCTGTGTTTTCCGTGGCGTGAAAGGTTCTGTAAAGGTATTCGTCAGCCACGATCTTTTCCCACTGTGTTAAGGACGCCTCTTTGTCGCAAACATCGCCTAATGCCAAATGGTGATGAAAATAACTGTAGAACATACCGCTATCACGATCGATTATTTTGAGTGAAAATTGATATCGATTTTGTTTTGTTTTCATTTTGTATTATGTGACATTTTATTGTCAATCTGTGCTATCTGATTTGATGGAAATAACTCGGAGGCGCTTTGTTGGCGCTTTACAACCAAGGGAAGACAGGGCGATATAATTATATACTATACAGTTTTACAGAAGACTGCGGGATCAATTTTCTCTTGCTCAGCTATAAAATGACAATATATCAAGTTCGTGTCGTAATCTAGCTTTTCATTCATCTTTTTATGAGGATATACATTCTTATTTCATATAATAACCTAACCCATCAACATTATTAAAAAAATGATAGTGTATATATATGGTGTAATAAAATATGGTGGTATCTTGACAAATTGCCAAACCTTTCCAAATATGTTGGTGTCTTAAAAACTCTAGAGAACCTCACCAAATATGGTAGTGTCTTGATAACCTTTCAGAACCTTACCAAATATGGTAGTGTCTTGATAACCTTTCAGAACCTTACCAAATATGGCAGTGGCTTGATAACCTTTCAGAATATTACCAAATATGGTAGTGTATTGATAACATTTCAGAACCTTACCAAATATGGTAGTGTCTTGATAACCTTTCAGAACCTTACCAAATATGGTAGTGCTTTAATAACCTTTCAGAACCTTACCAAATATTGTAGTGTTTTAATAACCTTTCAGAACCTTACCAAATATTGTAGTGTTTTAATAACCTTTCAGAACCTTAACAAATATGGTAGTGTCTTGATAACCTTTGAAAACCTTACCAAATATGGTAGTGTCTTGATAACCTTTGAGAACCTTACCAAATATGGAAGTGTGTTGATAACCTTGAAAACCTTACCAAATATGGTAGTGTCTTGATAACCTTTAAAAACCTAACCAAATATGGAAGTGTCTTGATAACCTTTGAAAACCTTACCAAATATGGTAGTGTCTTGGTAACCTTTGAGAACCTTACCAAATATGGAAGTGGGTTGATAACCTTGAAAACCTTACCAAATATGGTAGTGTCTTGATAACCTTTGAAAACCTTACCAAATATGGAAGTGTCTTGATAACCTTTTACCAAATATGGTAGTGTTTTGATAACCTTTGAGAACCTTTGAGAACCTAACCAAATATTGTAGTGTCTTGATAACCTTTGATAACCTTACCAAATATGGAAGTGTCTTGATAACCTTTTACCAAATATGGTAGTGTTTTGATAACCTTTGATAACCTTTGAAAACCTAACCAAATATGGAAGTGTCTTGATAACCTTTGATAACCTTACAAAATATGGTAGTGTTTTGATAACCTTTCAGAACCTTACCAAATATGGTAGTGTTTTGATAACCTTTGAGAACCTTACCAAATATGGTAGTGTTTTGATAACCTTTGTGAACCTTACCAAATATGGTAGTGTTTTGATAACCTTTACCAAATATGGCAGTGTATTGATAACCTTTGAGAACCTTACCAAATATGGTAGCGTTTTGATAACCTTTGTGAACCTTACCAAATATGGTAGTGTTTTGATAACCTTTACCAAATATGGCAGTGTATCGATAACCTTTGAGAACCTTACCAAATATGGCAGTTTGTTGATAACATTTGAGAACCTTACTAAATAAGGTAATGTCTTGAGAACCTTACCAAATATGGAAGTGTCTTTATAGGTACAATCTCTACAGCACATCCGGGCACACCTGCACACCTGCCTGGATTTCCAGTAGCACCATTGAAGTAACTTCCACACGTGACAAACAAGGATAAGGGGCGGAGGAAGCATCGGACGACAGGAGTAATCGTAGATTAAAGTGAACCTCTGGAAGTACCAGTACAGATCTGAATTCTCCTGTACTTTCTGGAATGTGTTGCTTTAAGATAAGAAAACAAAGTACAAAATAACAATCAATAAACAGATCAGAAATCATAATGTTTACAATTTGATCTATTGATTCTGCAAATGTGAAAATACGAAATTAATCGAAATAATTTATTTTTTCAATGAAATGTTTTTGCACTCAAAACCAAGTGGGTTATTTAATATTAAAATGTGTGTTGTGTAACTTTTTTTTATTAAAGTGTCCATCATCGATGAAAACTCATTTATATATGTATTTAAATGTATAAGAATAACATTAACAAGTTAAACAAAATTTCACGGTAAAAAATGAACGAGTGAAGAATTTTCCGAAAGTACCGAAACAAAACTGAAAGCAACATAATAACCAGATAATTAAATTCACTCACCTGAACATAGCAATGAGGAGATTAAGAAGAAGAAGATTGGCAATCATCATGTAAAACCCCATTAATATCGGTACGACATACCCCCCGATCTCCGTGGGACAGCGAGGGAGGGTGTCGTTTTCATAAAGCAGGGGATCAAAACTACACTCTGGCTCTTTTACTAAATTAAAGATTGAAAACATTTGCTATTTTAGAAAACAGGAAACTATATATATTGTTATTATTATGTTGGTCCTCTTTGGTCTGAGATCGTTCGTTGCCAGAAAGTTAATATTTCGTCTCTGTGGTAATCATTAGAGGCATTAAATATTATCTCTTGCTGTCATTGAAATTCAATTTTCGTATTAGATGGATTTTAATATCAATGCTTACGGTTTTAATTAGTATTAAAATTCAAGAAATCAACTTGCTATAGTTTAAAACGGCGATAAAATAATACTTTCAATTCAAAAAGTTCATGTCTATATACGTGAACTTTTAGCTTTGCATAGAGTGCAAAATCTACGCATTTTTTGTGATATTGAAAATGGCTGTGGTCTTTCTCCTAAACTTATATTATTACAAATATGCATCTCGTGTTTGATATATTTCATATAGATACATGATATTGACACATGTTTGCTTTTAAAACTGATCATAATCTTGATATATATTTCAATAAAAACCGAAACGAGATTTGAACGTTACTTGAATCTCAAAAGGGTACCTCTTTAATAAGAGTCTCATTGTACAGAGAAAAAAAAAGTTCTCTTACTTTCCATCTCGTCTAGAATGAGTTCTCCATACAGGTTCCAGTACGGGATCCGAAGGAGGTTAAAGAGAAGATCTCCGTCAAACCTGGAAACTGGATACAAAATGGCGTGGGCGGCGATTGAGTATGACACAACGAACACCATTAGGATGGCCAGGAAGGAAATCAGGTCAACGAACTGCGGAAAATGAAAAAGGTTGATTTTTTCACAAAATGTCTGTCATATAAGTGAAATGTATTTGATATAAAAGGAACGTTACGACGACAGAAGATGCGTCAAATGTGTCGAAGTAATTAATGACACCATGAAAGAAAAGCCTCAGCCTAGATTTAGTTTAAGTTATTTTTTTTCTTTCTATATGGAGCAATTATGTAAGACGTGTTTTTAAAACAGCTGATCTTCAACAAAATACAAGTGTTCCCTTTTCGATATAACCTATGTTCGCTGTACTCTGTTAATATGTCATGAGAAATCTAAGGCCCATAGCAAGGTACTTAATTGGCTTCAAACATCAAAACATTATTAATTGTGATTATGATAGACAGCGGTATGTGTGCTCGGAAACTAAACGGTGAATCCGAGATCAATGTTCTTTAATTTAACGTTACGCAACAACGCAATTTACTTTTATCTTTAATCAAAACATTACTTCAAGATTGTACATGTTGTAAGTATGCTGGGCAAGTCAAATTATATGGTCCACATGGCTGAGTGGGTAGGACTTTTATTCTGTCACGAAAAAAAAAATGCATAGTAGACATGTGAACCCTTGGAGCGCGAAAGTATTGTATTGCAATGTCATCCTTTTCCATCTTTTCAATTATTCAACCCTACAGATCATCACTTCACGATGTCAATAATTTTTGCAAGACAACAAGGGATTAAAGAACTTGAATTATTACCATTTTTGTTATCATGACCAGTTTCGGACCAAGACTTTGGTGAACGGAGAACAATCCGAGTAACCTCATGAAGAAACCGATAAAGGAGAAGGAGAAAAATATCCGGCCGACTTCCAGAGGGACACTTCCGGACACTAAGAGACATATGACGCCAATCAGAAATAAAACGATAGGCAGCATGTCAAGGATATTCAACTTGTTCAGGAAGTAAGTGTTGTTTGATGAGAGAAACTACAAAAAAAACACACATTTTATCACTGCTTCTTAATACAGTTTTGACAGTGTGACGGGGATCGTTAACACAGTATATTTTGAATAAATTCCAAGATTTTACATTATATTCTGCACTATTAACTTTCTTATATATTACTTGTTTAACGTCATCAATTCTATTGCTTTAATACAGGTTTGCGTTATTCCTTACCTGATTGGCTTCCTCTATAAACAAACTAAACACCCAGACAAATAGCGTGACCTCAACTCCGGTCACAGAGCTGTCAAATCTGGACAGAAGTGCGTAGCTAAACAACGTGAGGAACGCCACGTATGACATCTAAACAAAATCAGAAATAAAGAAGTTCACATTTAAAATATTTTCAAAAATACCACGCTTCTGTTTCTTAATTTTGGTAATGTTTAGTCTATATTCGTGTATATTTTTATCTCTTTTGATTGATTACAATATCGGAAATGGATTACCGTTCACTACATATTTCTAATATATATATGTGTTTGCCATGTCTTACGTAATGACAGGTATTTGTATACATTCATTTATATGCACATTGAGATTAGCATCATCTTGCTTAATGTAAATAAGTAGTTATATGCTTTTTTATGTTTATTAATTATAACTAATTAAGTACTTTTTATCCTAAAAAGTTGTAAAGCGCTCTAATAGTAATTTAATGTTGTATATTATTATTCACAGTTATCGTCCCTGTGTACAGGTCTTCCGGCAGTTGAAGCGGGCATGGCCCGTACTGTCAACCTTCCTTCAACATATCTGATGTCATTATAAGCTATATTCTGTCACCACAGGGTATAGGTGAAATGTATTTGATTAACACTAACCGATAGTTATCATGTGATTTTCATCTTCTATTTATATACGTCATGAATAAATTTAGGAGGTATATTTTATCGATCATATAAGATAACAGATTTTTTCCTTTTAAAGGCATTCGTTGGCTACCATATTTCATACTCACAGCATTTAGCACGAATTTCACGACAGGTGCTTGATAGAAAAACTGTATCTTCTTCAACCCTGACACTCTGGGTAGCTCCTCCGAGATATCGTCGTCGGGTTGTTTCCTGTAAAAGCAACCAGTCAAATACACAGGTTTTTTTTCTGATATTATTATGTTATATGGTCCTCTGATCAATACTTGGGTCTTTTTTCGAAACATTTTCTTCAGGTTGGTAAGTATGGATTGTGAAAAGATTCATGTAGCACAGCCAAAGTTCGTTTATATGTGACGTTTCGATGACATAATAATAAATAATAAATAAATAATAATAAAATTATTTTATTAAAGTGTCACATATTGATCTACATATAAAACAGATAAAATGTACATAAAATTAGATCAATATCCAGCCAAAGTTAATCGACTTACGAGACACTAAAAAGGCAGAGAATATACTTTAAAAACAGTTGTCAATTTTAAAAAGCTCAATATTTGTCAGCTTACTTTAGCTTATTATACCTTATAACCACACATTCCTGTCAAAGCTAGTTTGACTTATGATACTTGAAAAGGCAATATTATA